TTTTTTTTTTTTTTTTCTCTTTTACCTGTGGATCCCTGTGACCATGAATAACTCCTGCTGTGCATGGCAGATGTTCCCAGGAAAGAAATGTAATGACCAGAAATCATTTGTTGCTATTGCTTGCCAAGAGATGCTGTGCTGTCCTCATTTCCCCTCTGCTTTCATGCACTTCACCTGTGGAGGGTGAGGTGCTTCCAGATTTCCGTGGTGTGTGTGCTACAGGCACTTGCAAGTAAGAACCACCCAAAATGAAGGGAACAGAAGCCTGCACAGCTCTGAGATGGTCACTGGTCATGTACAGTGTGCCCCTTGTATTAAAGATTTAAYGTCTGATAAATGAGCTCTTCTAGTCCTGGTCTAATAACACACAATTTAATTAATTCCAACAGTGTGCTGCTAATTAGTGAATAGTGGGAAACAGGCACACCCTTCAATACTGAACAGGCCTCAATGTGCATTTTGGCTTTAGAGTGTGGAGTTACCCAGTTTTCTRTCTGAGTATTTTCACCTGCTCTGACTTCAGTTCCTTGCTGTGCGTAAACGCATCTCCAAATGAATTTGTGAAATTCTATGTTAATAGAAGTCCAAGCTTCAGCAGATGCATTTCATGACTGCTGTTAGTTGATGATAATGACCTGCCCGCTTTGGTTTTGCTTTTTTAGTTCAGTTCAGTGATCCTAATTAGTTTCTCAATAATTGTGATTTTTTTTTAATGAGTCAAGTATAATGCAGATGAAAAAAATGTCACACTCCAACTCTCAAGAAATGGAAGTCTTTCCACCTTTTTTTATTTTAGATTAACTGTAAAAACTATCATAATTTGCACCTCTAAAGCAATAGAACAAARTCATGAAGACCCTGCTGCTCATTCCTTGCAACTTACCCATTTATCCTAAAGAAATGGGGARATCATGTTTATAATTATGCCTGTAGAAGAGTTTTTTTAAGATGTATCTATTCAGTCGTGATCCAAGAGATGTTTTACTCTTTGTTTTGGCTTTTTAATTTTATCTTTAGCATTGAGTTAGTGCAGTGTTTAGTAATCAAGTGTTTAATAGCTAGATTACATCCTGAAAGGAGGCAGCCACTGTAACCTAGTAYGAGAAGAAAAGTGAATTAGCTCCTGCCGTGCTGGATGTTACTTGGWTTAGGATAATTTAGCTCAGCTAGCAGCGTTGCATGCTTGGTTTTGCAGCTGCAAGAAAGGAAGCCACTGAAAGCAAGGAGTACTAGGAGAGAACTTAGATAGGATCTCAGATATTTAATTATCTGTGCTGCAGTTATGTGGGGCTCTGCTCAGCRTTAATCACTGCACACAGATAATGTTTGTCAGGCGGACTTTCCAGTCATSCCCTGCTGTTCAGTGTCTGTCTTGGTATGGGTAAACTGCTTTCCATAACAGATTAGAGTCAAAGACACCTCACAGTGATGCTGCTTCCAGTTTGGTGTTTTCCTTGAAATGGCACACTGGCTGGGACAGSAGCAGTCATTTATAAAGCTGCCTTTTAGTGCTGGCTCCTGGAATTTTACTGTTGTAGAAAGCAGAATCAGAATAGCACCAAGTAAGATGGGCCAAGTCAGGGACTTGTGTAAGATGTGCCTTCTCCAGGCTGCTCCAGTTTATGAGTGAATCAGGAGAGCACATTTTGCATGCCAGGCACCACTCAGCATTGCACTGGACACCATCCTCCTGTCCTCAGGCTGCATCTTCTTCACAAGAGTCAYCTCTTCACTTTAGACAACAGTTTAAGTAGTCTTTTGCTGCTTAGCTCTGTATGTTTGGAATCTTTTTTATAATTTAGCAAATTATATTAAATTAAAACWTGCTTCTGGCTAATTACAGCAGATAGAAGGGTAAAATATTTCTACAGTAGAGACTGGTGGTTTGCAAGAATGTTACTTTTGTCTGTTTCCATTTTTAATTCAGTTCTGTTTATCTTTGTGGGGAAAAAAAGTACTAAATTAAAGTCTTGAAATCTTATAATTCCTCCCTTTTCAGTTTTGASACAAAGCCTAAGCAATTCCAGGATACATCTAGACATTCTTTAGGATAAATTTTTCACATTTGGTCACCTTAACATAAACTTGACGGAAGGAGAGACAAGTTTTTASAGCAGCCCTGAAATTAAATTTTTTGGCCCAGCAGCTACCAAGAGGGGCASGCATGTCATCCCTGGCCAGCTGTCTCATTGCATCTTTTGTTTTCTGTAGCAGCAGTGATGCTGGACTTCCCTTCTCTGAGCAGGCAGAGTTGAAGGTGCTGAGGTAGGAGCTTTTTTGGCCACAGAAAGGAGCTGGGGCTCTGGAATGCAGCACCCCTCCTGCTCTGAGGAGGGGGAGATGCTGTGCTCTGTCAGGGCTCTCAGCCCTCRGCAAGTGCAGCCCCTGTTATTGAGAAATCCCATCGCAGACAGACGATAAATGCCTGAAGGGTTGTAAGGGCTGTAGAGCACACGCTTCACTAAACACACAAAATGACCTGTCAGCCAGGGGTTTCTCTGTTGTGTGGATTTTTTAGTGTCTAATAAGGTGTGCTGTACTGTATCTCAATGCAAGACTGGCATCTTTGATAGAATTTTATTAATCCTTTGAAATTAAAGCAGTGAGAGTTATCTGCCCGTATTATTTTCTGTCATTTTATTCAGTTTATTTTGTTTTTTTGAAAATTATATTTAGGCCTCTACTTAGAAAGAATAGYACCTGCTAAAGAATAATCTGTCTTTGCTTTAAGAAAATTATAGAAGTAAAATGTAAGTTATAGCTCAACTTCAGTGAACATGACAGAAGTATGTTACATTTACTGTTCTGTTGACTATGTTAAGGGTCCTATTATGTTCACCAGATTTATCTTTCTGAAAGCCTCTAGTGATCAGCATATAGAAYAGGCTGAACATAGTTGCTTAGTTCATATTTCTTTCTTTTTAATGCCAGAAGGCTATTATCTGGTACTAATGCATGGTGTTGAGAGCTTCAGTTGTTTCTCTGATTGCTGCAGTCCCCCAAACAGGGAATTTCACAGCAGACAAGTTAATCCCTCATAATGAAATCACACCATGAAGTGGTTCGTACTAATCAGGATTTCTCTTGCTTTTAAGCACATGACATGGTTGTAATCATTGCTGTTTCAGTTACAGGTATTTTGGAGAAGAAAAATGAATTTTATATCTTGTGACTTCTTTGCACTTRATTGGCAAAAATATAGAAGTGTGATTAACTTCAAGTTTTTTTATAAAAAGATCTACAACGCAAATATTTTCAGCTGCAGGCTGATAAAATTGTGTTTTCTTGGGCCATTAATACATATGCATAGCGTTGCTGTGTGGATTATGCTGAAGCTATTAAAAATGTACATTATTTTCACAGACCCAACAGAGAAGGTGACTATTCAAGTGCTGTCACAAAGTAGTACCATTAAAGAGGGCGATAACATCACTCTGAAGTGCTCAGGAAATGGCAACCCTCCTCCACAGGAGTTCCTGTTTTACATTCCAGTAAGTCCTGCCTTGCTGTTGCTGCCTGGTGAAATATTCTGCATCATCCCTTCCCACAGACATTGCTACATGTCAGTGTAGACGTGGTTTTGTAACAAATGAGGGAAGGAATTCGATGTGACAAACACTGAAGACAGAYATTGACCATTATATCATGCTCTGATATAATGAGAATGCCTCACCTCAGCTGGCAAAACACTTTCAAAAAAACCTCTCCTTCCCCCTAGCCCACCTGAATTTTTCAGTTTAGTCCTACTAAAAATTACAAAGCTTCATTTCCCATCTACAGTTTTTGTTTTTGTAAACTTTTGATTACAGCAGTTTAGCATCCTGAAGAAAACCATTGCATCTGTTGTCATAACACAGATCCAGCAGTGAAAGTACAGCAAATTTATTCAGTTATTTTTTGGACTTTTTCAGATTAATCTTTGTGCAATTTCTTTTCTTCAGCTAATTAATTAATATGCCTGGTGGAATAACAACCCAAAAAAGAACATGTGACAGCACAGGAGAACAAATCTGTTGAATGCATGAGACACAGACTGAAAAAAATAAAGGCTTTGTTACCATTAATCTTCTTAGTACTGGGGAAATCCACAGACAGATGTGGCTTTCTATTCTRAGGCTCCTGGTCCTTGTTCCCATGTCCTGCTCCTATTTTATAYGCCTTATTTGTTCCTGCTGCAGCAGTGAGCAGAGCTGCTCTTGCRAGAAGCCAAAAGAAGTGGTGTCCTTTCAGATATTTCAAACGCAGCATGTCACCCTCTGAACATAATCGTCATCCACTCTGGACTCCTGGCAGGTTTGAATTGCTGCAGAGAGCRAGGGGAGCTAGGAGCTGAAGGCCTTATCTCAGAACAGCCATTTAGATTCAGTGAGTCATCCCAGAAACTCACTAAATGCCAGGGAAAAAGTGTAYGGTATCTCTGCTTGTTCCACTATCGCAGTGAGAGAGCTAAACACCCAAGTTTGTCTTATCTTTGGGCTCCCTGCTACCTGATACTGATCCTCCCTCTCAAGGAGAGCTGCAGTGGGTGATTTCTTTGAAAGGCTCATGGGTATTATAAGTCTCTTTCTGGATTCCGAGATAGGAGCGAGGGTATCATTCTGTGCTTGTTTCAAAGCTGACCTGAGTCAGCAAGCAGGGGCAAACTGGGGAACTGGACAGGCAGAAAGCATTTCTGGCTGATTCAAAACACCAGTGTCTGCAGATAACTGCATAAAACACAGTGTGTACCCTACCAGGGTCTGTAGTGTGATGTGGGTAAAGCAAGGTTGGCTTGTGCTGCTCAAAAATGGGCAATGCAGTACAACTCAGTTCATGATCTGTCCTAAATGGTGTATCTCAGATCAGATTTACAAACACCATTTGTTTTGTTGTCATTTTGATTTCAGCAACGCTTATTCATAGACTGTTTCTTTCCGCTACATTTTCAAATTTTGTATTTTAGCATCCTCTTAAATGAGTTATTAAATTAAAAGAGTAAGTTCTTGATTGTAGTTGGTTTTTTTTATAATTATGTTGTCATGCAGGAAGTAAGCCTTAGTATAATTAATAGGTAATTACACTTCAGTGATGCTGTGTCTRTATGAACTYCAGAGTATTTCACCATTTTTCTAATTWAAAAAAATCCTCAACAAAAATTAATGAGTTTAGCAGGCCCATCTACAGTAAATATCTTGTTTTCCACCTGCAGGGAGAAACAGAAGGTATAAGAAGCTCAGACACTTATGTAATGACAGATGTGAGACGAAATGCAACCGGAGAGTACAAATGTTCCCTGACTGACAAAAGCATGATGGACTCGACCACCATCACTGTGCACTGTAAGTCAYTGCATTTTGCACTCCTAGGTGGGGTACAAACCTTCTGGGATGGTCTCTCTGCTTTATATGTGGCTTAGAGCAATYACCTACAAGGTGGAGTGGTTGGTTTGAAGTAGTGTCAGGTCATTTCTGTTTGAAAGTCTTGACTTTCTCAATTCATTTGCCTCGATAAAGTTCCATTTTATGTAACTTCTGTATGGTTTTATTGCACTGTCAYGCACAGTGAGAATTTTGGTGTTTTATATTTCCCTCATGTGAACATATATAGGGCAAATTATTCTCTTCCAGCTGCATCTCAGAATGTACACAAACATGCAAGCACAGGAATATCACTGAAGGTCATTCTTCATAGTCAAGTTCACATTCCCTCAATGAGCTTAACATGGAAGGAGTCTAGAAAAGAGACTTAGGAAGTCATTATGTTCACATAGGAAAAGTTGCCTTTTTCACTTTTCCCAGGACCATGAGATAAAATTTTCTTTAGGTGGATACTATTTATTCACACTATCAGCAACACTTCAAAAGCAGCCATTGAACTGGTTGAGCCATTGAAGCARTAGTTGCTTTTAATCTCTTTGTGGAGAAAACAAGAGCAGGAACTCTTTCAAAGTCTGCTATACTGTCACAGGCTGTGAAATAAAACTCAGACCAAGGCAGTAGGTTTCCCCTAAAAATATTGATGGTCTGCAGTCTTCACAGTAGCATCAATACCTTTAATAGTTGACAGTTTCAGAGGGTTCTGATGGATAATGAAGGTTAAAGTCTTCCACAGTAGTTATACTCCACATAAAAACAAACTTCATGTTTGTATACTTGGTTTAGAATTCTTTTCGGTGAAGAGTTACAATACATGCATAATATACCTGTACATGAATAATGAACTATTACATGTAATGAATATTTTCCTTTGATATGATCACACATTGWGTTCTGCTCACCCCTTCTGTTTGCCAAGGGTTGAGTGTGTAAGACCTCAAAAGAGTCCTGTGCTGCTGCCTCTAAACTCCCAATAGCAAAGGTGGCTTTTCTCCAGGGTAACTGACCCTTTTATTTTTCTCCAAGTGGAATGCATGTCTGCTTGCACTTTCATAAATAATCACTCTAAAGAATGGCTTCCTCAGCTCCAGGTTATTTATAACGAGCTAGTTTTCCTTTCTCTACAATTTTGTCTTTACACTGGGAGAGCTTTGCTATGCCAGAGAAGGATGTATTTTCTAGACAGTGGYCTTCCTAGTGCTGGCAGCTAATGCAGCTCCTCAGAACTCACACTCTAGTACACCACTGCTTCTCTTCACTTAGGGTTCATTTTGTTTTGTTTTGCTTTGTTTTTTCAAAACACCTCTATGTGCAATAAAACCTTTGATTAAATGAGGTGCAGTGGCCTGGAATAGTTCTGTAATTCCTGAAGTCCAGACCATGCCCTTCCTTTAAGGTACTTCAGTGTCTTACCTTGTGCTGGTCTAAAGCATTTCTGCAGCATGTAGTTTGTCCTTCAGATAATACTTAYGAATGCCTATCAAATCCTACTTTTTCTCCCCCTTTTGCTTTATTGTTTACCTTTTCTCATATGGAATATTCCTCTCTGTGCTGTTACACTGAAAAAGACCTTGATTAGCAGTCAGGACTTTCATTTCTTCACATCCAATATCAGCATCTTAGATTTTTTGTTTTCTTTTTTAAAAACCTACCACAAACACAACAAAAAGCAGGCCATATAATAATTTTAATTTAAATTTAGGAAACTATTTGTAGTAATTCATTAAATTCCAACTGTAAGGCTTTTTCCCAAACCAATTTTATTGAGCATTATAATTACACTGATTTCTTTCTGTATCTAGAGAGGGAAAGCTTCTTGCTGGTATGAAAAAACATTATCATGCCATTTTTTTGTAAAAAAACGTTGTTGCTGAATATCAAGCTCCCTTTTTGCATGTTGAATGTAAAGTATGAGACCCACAGAAAGCTGAAAATTTACATTAAAGCATCTGAGTTACTCATAATGTTTAGGGAAATAATTTATTTATGCAGGAAATTGAGGGGGTACGAAAGATTCCTTACCTTGTCCACAGAACATAAAGAACAAATTGTACAACCTGAGCTCTTGCCCTTCAGAGCAGATCCCATTTCAAAGGCCAGCAGAACTGARTGTTTGTGGTTGGCATGACTTGTCCCTCTACAGAGGGAGCAACAGAACAGGATTGATATTGTGGGTTTGGKTTTTTTCACAATAGCTGTAAATTCTCTGCCAGCTCTGTTCCTTCAGTGAGTTTGCCCAGGGTCAGATGAGCAAAGCTGGCAGGGAGGGGATCAGGGCAAAAGCTGTTTACAGCCACTTACAGAGATGTAGAAGCACAGCCTGAGTGAGGCAAGGAAAACACSCAACAGCAAAGAACACAAAGTGTATCTTCCCTCAGCTAGAGAGAAGCAATTCTTTCAACCCACAGTCCCCTTTCATTATCTATTGCTATGGGGATTTGAGCGACTTGATCTAGAGTTGGGGTCCCTTCCCATGGCAGGGGGTTGGAAGCAGATGATCTTTCAGGTCTCTTCCAGCCCAAACCATTCTGTGAATCTGTAGTTTTTTCTGCACAGAAAACCCAGTATGGAGTAAGTAGGTCTGTGGAGCTTCCTCTTTGTGATGCTTCCCTCTCTGCTAAAATGCATTTTCTAGGGAAATACATCTGCAAACCATCCAGTAAATTAAAGGTCTTAGGAGTTTAGCATTTTTGTTTCTCTACAGATATTTTTACAGCCTTGCCTTGACTTGTCTCTTCTTTCAGTAAAGCTGTTGAAAATGCAGTGGAAATCACCTTTTGAATGTTGCATGGAAAAATCTGTTCTCAAGATACTAAGAGAAGTTTCTAGTTGYCTGCTAGTATATTTATGGAGTTCAGACAACAGGCAAGGGCCTGTACAGCTTTCCCAATTGTAGCACAGGATTCGATCAAAGGCCTTCTTTAAAAGCTGGGAGTCTGTGCCCATTGTGCCACAGTTTCCAAACTGAAATGTGTGCTCCAGTCTTGCCCACATTTCCAAACTGAAATGTGTGCTCCAGTCTTGCCCACATTAATTCCATACCTCTCTCACGTGATGGGGTGATACATGCAGAATGCACAGTTTGTCACTTCCCTGCCCTGCTTGGCATGCAAGGACAGCACTGAAATCAATGCAAGGCTTCAAGTGAGACCACATTAAGAGCTTGCATATAGTGGAAATTTACAGAAAATTCTCATGGAAAAGTTTTGGGTTTTTTTTTTTTAATGGAGACAAAAATTTAGATTTTACAGTCTTATGTATGCAAGAAATGTTTTCTCCTCATACTTCTGAACCAAAAGGGAGATTAATTACTAATTAGAGTGGTAAAGGTAACTACATCACATTTCTTTGTGGACCCTACAGATAAACTGGCAGAAAATTAAGCTAAATCAAATTGCTCATGTAGAGTTCCTAGAGGGATCCTATGTTAAACAGAACCTTAATTCTCTCTCGCCTTATAAGTCATACAAATACTGCTCTGAGTTATGTAGCTCACAGTAAATTTTCCTGAACTGCTGTAGCAACCAAGACCACGGTGTGAGAGGGATTGCAATCCCATTTACACCACACAAGGGGGCCAGCAGGGCACAGTCACACTGCTCTGGAGGAAAACTGGGCTGAAGATGGCTCTGGGCTCAGTGTCAGTCTTGCCTGAGATGAATGCAAAAACTTTCATGAGTTTTTGGTTCTTATGGCAAATGTGAGAGGAATGCCTTCTGAATGGTCTTTGGTGATTTCTTGGGTTTGAGGTGCTAGCTTGCTTCAAAGAAAAAAAGGCTTCAGCACATGTTGAAGGAAATTCTTGAGAAAAGAAAAGAAAAAGTCTTAGTTTTTTCTTCAACCACCTCTCTGCCTTGGTAGAATATGTTTAAGGGTAACAAAGCAAGAAGAAACATCTCATACACCATCCCAATCTACATACCGCTCACTGGAGGAGTCTTGTTCTTTCATTTCCTAATTTTCTTTCTTCTGGAAGCTACAGGAGAATAGTTTGGTTCCATTTACTGGTTTCAGAAGGGAGGAAGAGATTCCCCATAAGAATACAAAAACAAGATGCCATTTTATCTCGTCAAGATCTTTAATTCATTCACAGATGAAAGCAGAGTTCTTGTGACCTCTCAGACTAGATGTTGCATGTGTAAAACAGATAAAAATGCTACAGATGGGCAGTACAGGATGAACCCTATTTATTCCCTGAAGTTCTACCTTTAATTACAGTGGTGTTCCCAGAGCATTCTACTGAATGAAGCCAGTAGTGAAGTTCACTGTTTTGTTATGGAAAACTCACTTTCCTCTAATGCGATTTTTGTCTAAACCTTTTTTAAAACTCTTTTTAAACTAAAAGGCAAAAGGAGATTTTGCAGTCCTTTTCCAGCAGGTACTATATTTGTGATGAATTCATGTGTGGCCATGTGTGCATTTGACTGCACATGCTTCTGTGACAATCATTCAACCAGGCTTACAAGCAAGGCGCTGTTAGAGGGAGAGCAAAACAGAGATTGTCAAACTCTGCTTTTCTTTCATGGTAGGATTAAAACTTTAAAAATGACCAGCCCACCAAATCCTTATACTAAGAAAAATCTGCTGCAGTATTTCCTGGTGTTTCTGTTACTGGTGCTYACCCTGCCTTGTGTCAAACACGGCWATTGCTGACTACAATTTCCCTGGARYTTAAATGTGCCAGGCAGAGCTTGGACTCCTTTTTGAGGTGCACAAAAATGGYATTTAACTTACAAATGAGAACAAATAAAGGGCTTCCTGTGCAGCCCCCAACCCTTCAGACTTCTTCCCACTTCAGTCAGTATCATGTCTCATAYACCCTCTTTGACTGTCTTCATCCCCTTCAGATTCTGAGGATAAAAATCCCCCAGTTTTATCACACTAAAGAGAGGTACCCCTTGTCCTCCTGCCTTTTTCTACACAATTACTATTTAGGATAAACTGTCCCGACCTGCAAGATGCATTTCTGGCTGGCCATAGCAAGTCACCCTCACAGCATTGGGTGCCTCCCCTTTCCAAATGCACACACTGCTGTGTGTGAAATACTTCTTCAGCTCCTTGTGCTTCCTCTGTCATTCTTTCAGCAGAACAAGGTGAAAAAAATGTATCCATTTGTCTAGGGATTAATGAGGTTTTGCTTTTCCTTTTAGCCTATAATTACAGCAAAAATATGAATGTTCTGCAATGCCTATTTTAGAATAATTCTCTCATCTTCCTTCYTTGTAAAATTGACTTAGATTTTATTGAAGAAATGAAATCTTGAATTTAATGAGTGCAATTAGTCACATTTTCTTTTCTTGGTAAGCCTCTGAAATGGGCCATGCTTTCCGAGATTAACTTTTTACAAATGTTCTTTCTACCCCAGATTTGGATTTGCAGCTTACTCCTAGCGGGGAAGTCACAAAACAGATTGGAGAGAACCTGCCTGTGTCATGCACGATTTCTTCTAGCAGAAATGCAACYGTGTTTTGGATAAAGGTCAGTAATTCATCTATTTCACACTTCMTCTGAGTGTTGACCTCCTCATGTTACTGCTGCTACTTCAGTGTTTTGCAAGGAAGGAAGGAAGTTGTTCATTGGGCTTTTTAAAGAATATTGTCAAAATGGGTCTTACGCATATGTTTAAAATGGGATCTACTCACTCACACTGATGACTGAAAATCAGTTACTGTAATTATCAGCTCAGCTTTCAAATGGAGAGAATTCTCTCTATTCAAATGGACAGAATTAAGCCATATTGCAACACAAATACAACTTTTTTGCAATGCTCTATACAAGGCCCTTTGAGAATAAAGTTCCTCTAAGAAAAAGAGCCCATTTGTAGGGATTCTGGTGCATTTTCTCAGATGTGAGCTTGGTCTTGGTTTGGATAAACATAATAAAGGGCAAAAGTTAGAGGTCAGATGGTGAAAAACATCRCTATCAAAGAAGGTTGCTTTATACCAAACCTGTAGTGCTTTAAAGAAGAAGTAATGATGCCTAATGGTTGTTGATGAGCAAATGTTGATCTTGTAAGCCTGGCACAGAGGAGAATTGCTTGTGTCTCAAACATATTTTATCACTCATGGTTTTGGCCAATCTACTAGAAAAGCTCAGAGCCAATAACTGATCCTATCTACGCCCCTGCTTGAAAAGCAAAATTATTCAAGAAGAAAGGACATGTCTTCTATAAATCTCCAGCAGTTTCCATTTTTCATGTTGTATATTTAAATGCACTTATTAATGGGGAAACAGCTTAAAAGTGAAGCTCTAGTTTGCCAAAGTATGTGAAAGCTTCTGTTGATAGTAGTCACATTTGTCATTAATGTGTTGTGAGTCCATCTCTATCACTTCTAACTCCTGAYTTTATCAGGACAATACCAGAATGCAAACAAGTCCATCATTTTCAAGTCTTCAGTATCAAGATGCTGGAAACTACATCTGTGAAACCACTCTGCAGGAGGTTGAAGGGTTGAGGAAAAGGCAGACACTCAAACTCATTGTGGAAGGTAAGCCAGCAGATAGTTGAGATTATTAATTGTTCTTTTTTAATGAAATGGTTAACTGTAATATTGTTCCTGTAGGAAAACCTCAAATCAAAATGACCAAGAAGACCAACACAAATAAAATGTCTAAAACAATTATCTGCCATGTGGAAGGTTTCCCCAAACCAGCAGTGCAGTGGACAGTTACAGGCAGCGGAAGCATCCTAAATAAAGCAAGTATCTTTCTTATTACTTTATTCACCAAAAAACTAGTGCATAGGAAGTGCAAATTAAAATCAAGGAACATTTTTCACATAGTGRTATTGAAGAAAAATCTTTTTCATTTATCTAAGAGAAGGTTAAGTGGTTGCTGTAGCTACATGTGACGTACAAGAATTTTTTTATGATAAAGCCTTTTTGAATAGAGCAGGCGAAGGCAGAGGAGATCCACTGGATACAAGCTGAAGCTGGAAGGACAAAGRAAAGGTTACAAATGAAATATGCATTTTTTAAATGAAGGTGCTCAGTCATTTAATCTGGGTAATGTGCTGATTTTGTCACTGCATAAAGAATTTGCAAATAATGATGGAATTGTAGAACTTACATTAGAAAGCAAATGAGTTCTTGATGTAGGCATTAGCTGAATTAAATGTAATGAAATTTGGCATGTGTGAATCAGAAGTTACATTCAGTATAGTCCTTATGGGCTTTGCAGCTTTTATCCTAACATTTATAGTTGGTTTTGTATGGTTATACCTGTTGTTTCTCACTGGAAAAGGAAACATTATGCATTCATCCTGGGGAATAAATAAGAAGAACCCATAGCAGGAAAAATACCCAGAAAAGAGTCAAACTGAAGTATTTTGATATGGATTACCAAATGCCATGCAAAGCATTGCCACATTTTGCTTTAGCCTGGAAAATAAATGAGACCTCTCTCCAGTCAGTGGCTGGAAGTACCATGTACAGTGCTCCTGGCTGTTACTGTAGATTCCATTACATTTCTTCAGGTTTTGCTTTAAACCTACAGAAATTATGTGCAGCTGTCAGAATTTGTCCATTCACTTGTGGGTATAGGACAGGAATTTTCTTGAAGCTATATAAATGATTGAAAATAATTTTTTCTGGGTGTTGCTTTACTCCAAGAATGATGTACAGCAAATTTAAGGGACAACACATCACTATTACAGTACAGATACTGCAGGTGCTACTAGATACATGGAGTTTGGAAAGCTGCAAAGTGGAAAACTTAAAGCAGCTCTTTTCCTTATAATGTCATAAATGAAAAGCAGCAAGATAGAAAAATTGATACCTTAGAAATTTGAAATTTTCTTTAAGATTTTTTTCACTTGAAATGTTTTTTAAATAGCTGAAAGAAAAGCAAATACAGACTGTTAACTTTCTCAGAAAAAGCTTCTTTATCATTGGTCTTGCAGTACACACTGAATTATCCATAACTGGATATTTGGCCAAATTTTTCTTTCAAATTTTCACATTACTAGTTAATAAAATAATGCAGTATTTCTGTTGCTGTTGTTGGGAAAATGGAAATATCTATTGAAAGTTATTTCCCTGGGAACATTTTCAGTTTGTAATACACGTAATGCATGTATTGTTCTTTGTGCTTTTAAAGGATACTAATCTTCATTTTTCACCTTTTCAGACAGAGGAGACAAAATATGTTAATGGGAAATTTTCCAGTAAAATTGTAATTGCTCCTGAGGAAAATGTAACTTTAACTTGCATTGCAGAAAATGAGCTAGAAAGGACTGTGACCTCCATGAACGTCTCTGCCAGTGAGTGTCCTCTAAAGATCATTTCCTTAAARTCACAGTTTCTCATAAAGTACCCATACATCACACTCAAATGAAGAATAGGTCTAATAGGAATGTTTATACTAAGATATTTAACCTTTTTGTCTCAAGTCAAGCAATTGTAAATCCACTCTGGTCTAGTAGTACATAAAATTTATTGATATCTTTCTATAGGAAGTCACTCAGTCTTCATGACTTTCTTGACTAGATACCTCTATTACAAAAGTAAACAATATTACAAAATAACAGTACAACTTAATGGTACAAAATACTGGAAAATTATACTTTATTTACAAGACAAAGTTCTTTATTTATTGCTAAATTAACAATATCTCTTAGACCCTAATTCCAGTCTATTATTACTGGTATGACTTGATTCACAACAGAAATCAGCTGTACTGGGCTTATATCACATGTTGTCATGAAAGGTAGTGAGAAGCTGTGGAAGGGCAGGACATAAATATCTTGGTCAGAAATATTTCTGACTTAATATTAAAAGTTTAAAATAAGATTATTCTAATGGATATATTATAATTACGAAGGAAAAACTTCCATTTAAAGATGGGATTAATTATCTTTTTTGCAAACACTGTTATAGTTTCTGTCATTGCTGTAAACAGGTAATTAAAGGTGATATTCAGGTCTAATATGTGATGTCTTTAAATTCATTTTAACATTTTTCATTTCAGTCAGTATTCCAGAATATGATGATCCAGAGGACAGAAGTGGTATGTATGGTTTTGTCTCTCTTAATCCCTGCTTTTGATTGTCTCAGTTCAAGACCTGTGYAGTTCACTGCACAGTTTCATAGTCCCTTAAAGCTGGACTTGATTTGAAATAGCTAGTGCCATGACTGACCAAGATGTGACTTTCCTGGAGCTTAAAAACATATTTAAAGAACAGTGCCTATTTTTTTTTTTGTCTTTCTAATTCCTTTTCTTTTTCTGGTGAGAATTCTTTAGAWATGTTGTAATGCTTTACTTTTATCAGAGGTCATCTCATTAACTTCTCTTCTTTGTTTCAGAAGACAGTAGTGAAAAGGTTAATGACCAGGCAAAGCTAATAGTGGGAATTGTGGTTGGTCTTCTGCTGGTTGCTCTGATTGCAGGCTTTGTCTACTGGCTCTATGTGAAGAAATCAAAGTAAGATTTTTTTTKWAAACTTTATGCTAAATGGGGGAMAGAACAATGACAAGYAGAAATGTATGTTTACCTGTTTTCCTTCCTCTACAGCATTCCAGTAGCCTAGAGCTGGGGGGGGAGAAGTGTTACAGTAGGTGCACTTGATAGAGAAAGGAAACTTGGAACCTCTGATTGGTTTGTCCTAGTGCTTAACAGGATTCATCTCCTGGAGGTGGGGTTCTGAGATCCTCACAGATCATACTTTCAATGAGGTCCTCTTTCCTGGCAGCCAGCTCTGTGCTGACTCTTGCATTTAAATACAGTAGTTAATTGTAGAATGTGATGTGTGGAAGCCTGTGTGGCTGTGCTGGGGCTGGAAACTGGCTTCATTTAGAGATTGGCTGGCTCGTTTCCTTTAAAGATTAAATAACATACAAAAYAAGACTTAACCATCTCAGGGAGAAGAGAGATCCTTAATTGTTTTGTTCATTTACACTTTGAGGTCTCTGAAATAAAATTGGGAAAGACAGAGCTTGTGTTCCTGAAAAATCTAGAGGCTCCCACGCCAGTCCAGGTTTTAGCCATCAGAGGTGTAGAAAAGCATTTTCCAGTGAGACCTGCTTGCTTTCAAGCTTCTTCATTGTCACAGAGGCTCACTTGAGAAAATAAATGGGGAGGTCTCCAGAAGTGGCCATGTTTCTCCATCCTTTTGAAGGTGGCTCTTACTGCATGCCCCATTTGGTCTTAGCCCCACACATTTGTCTCCAGGGCAAACWGAGGGCAGGCAGAAGCAGGTTTGCTTTCTCACAGCTCTTCCAGCTGCTTCTGAGCAGGGCAGGTTAAGTGGTTGTGCATAACAAGAACAAATCAGTGCAGGTGTAAAAGCAGTCTTGAAGTTCAATGGGKTTTAGTCTGACCTTTCATTAAAACTGAATCAAATGAAATCTAAAATACACCAGTGGGATTTTACTTTGAACAAATGTGTTTTCACTGATGTGAAAGTACAACGAGGAATTCTCCATCTGCCAGAAAATATTCCTTTTTGGATAATATATAAAGACTTTGCTTCAACCATAACTGATCAGGTTTTTGAAGTTTTTCAAATATAGAATTGTTATAAATTACCCAAGCACAGAACCATGCTCAGATGTTATACAGAGGCTTTTTGGGTTTTTTTCCAAAGCTCATACTTCTTTTGGTAAAAAATTAAAAGAAAAAAAAGCATAGTGCTCTTCCTCCCACACTTTGCTACTGTTGTAATGATGTCTGGGATAACTTTGTCATTCCTTTTTAAATGTGGGAATGTGGAATCATGAAACTCTGGTACAATGGTTTGAGTTTCTTTGGATGAGGTAGTTTGAGTATAAGGAGGGCAGAGAAGGTAAAATACCTTTTCTTGTACCATGGAGTAGTGTGGGAAGAGCTGACAGGATTCATGGAATGTAGCATGAGATGAGTTTATGAATTACAAAAATTTCTTCTGCTTCAAAGATAGGATATATCATATTTTAAATGGACAACACTTCTTTTCCTCATGCTCAACTTCTCTTCCTCAAGCTTAGAGGAAAAATTAGACCTAGAATTGATTAGACAGGTTCACTGGAAACAAAAATACCTTTATAGTAAAATAATAGTCTCTGTATTTGACACATGGTTGCTGGCTTCTAAAGCCCTTAGTTGTTGTATCATCATTGWCAATCTCCTGTTCTCTGTAGATATTTAAATTGATTTGTTGTTCCCTCCCTGATTGCTGCACACCGTACTTGCAGCAGCAAGCAGAATGTCAGCCTCTATTCTGACAAAGTTTTCATTGTGAATCCCAGCCTAGAAATCAAAGTAGACCTTGCAAAAAGCACCTTTCACCTGCACACACAACCCCCATCTCCATCCAGGCCAGCAGGTAGTAATTATTTTTGGAACCCACCCTTGACCAGTAACTCACCTGATCTCTATCCCCAAAGTGACGCCAAAGGAAAGTCTGAGAAGGCAGCAGCACAGAACTTTCCAAGTCTGCCGAGGCAAGAAAAACATTACTTTTTGTTTTGTTATTGGTGTTGTGGTTTGTATAATCCTCTATTGTCTTGTCATCCACACTAAGTAGGAATTATATCTGTAGCCTTGGAATATATTCACAATAAATCACTTGTACAGTTACTCACTGCCTCAGCTCCACTTGATGGAAAAGCTGATTATTGCCACATATTCTTTTCAGTGTGAATATTATCCCATAAATCAGAGACTCATCTGTATTCCACATCCTGCAACTAACCCCCTCTTGAATTAGGAGTTGAGGCTTCCTTCCCCAGCATGCCTTGTTTCTCCTTCATCTGAGCAGAAGGCCAAACACTTGATCTCTACAGATTTCTCCTTTCTCCAGAAAGTCTATTGTAAATTAATCTGCACTGAACAGAATCTTTCTAAAATTTTTGTGTCAGACTTCATGGGAGAGATTTGCTTTTCTGATACTTTATAGCAAACGAGTGTGAATCCACAGGTGGTGGGCCCAAATATGTAGGAAACTCATAAGACTCAGCAGAGTTGGTTTTCACTCAGTTCCCTTCCAGAGAAAAGATATATTTACAAGCATCTCTGAAAGTGTCAGTTCATGACACAAATCTGATATAAAAGTGACACAAACTTTAACAATGGCCACTCATTTCTTGATGACTGAAATATTTTTTCTAATGTTTCTGTGGCTTTTCCTACCGATGGACATTTGAAAATAATTGGAAGAAGTGGAAGGCAAGATTGGGGTAAATAAGAAGGTTGCAGCTAGTCCAGAGTGGGATGTATAAAACCATTAGCTCCTGGAAAATCATCTGCAACAGTGCAGTTGAATGGAGCTTTAATAAAATTCATGGCTCCTGCTTCAGCACCCAGAACCACCCTTATGTGTATCATTTTACCTGTTTTTATCACAAGGACAAATGGCACTGCATCTTTTCTTCCTTTAAATAGTGTTGAGGGCAAGGCCTAGACTTGTGAGATTAAAAGAAATCAGAAATGAAAACCCTACAGAATTTTTTGTGTCCCCTATATGTAGGCTGTATTTACACTCCAGCAGGCAACACAATCTTAATGGAAAATGATCTTCAGATTACAAAGAATATTACAAACAGTATCTGAACAAAATCCATGAACACAGCAGCCCCACTGTGCCTGCGCACACACACACCAAAGAAAACTGAAAACCTCACTTTGGAACTACTTACAGAGAGATTTTGATTAGGACACCCTGAAGATAATTATTTTCCTGAAGAGCAAGCATAGATAAATATTAAATATGAGTCATAATTTTAGCAAAAGCTCAGAATGATCCATGATTTACAAATTAATGTAAAGGAAAAAAAAAGTCGAGTGAGTAAACTCATATTAATACAACCAACTTCTCACTCTTAATAACAACAGCAGGTGTGGCCTTTTTTTTGTGGAGCTGCAGATAATGACAGCATGTGAGAGTGCTCCAGGCCTGGGCAAAGTGGGCTCTCTTCTCATTTGGGCAAATCCTTGGGAATATTTCCATCCATTCAGACTCCATTGGCCAACTGCTCAGATATTATGAGAAATTCACTCTTGAGTTGTAAATGGAGCAAGCTGACAAGAGTTTCCACACAAAACAAAGTAATTAACAAGTGCTGAACATTGGGCTGGAAAAGAAGCACTTGCCCTGTGCCTGCAGTCACCTCAGGAAGGGATGGAGCCCCTGTTCTGTTCCAGCTCTGTTCTGTCTGTCGAGCTCTGGGGGTTGGTGCCGTGCCAGGGGTGGTCACTCCTCTGCTGTTGGCAGTGCCAGTGGATCTCACCACTGCAGCTTTGTGCAAAATAACTCCTGTGTCTCCTAATGACACTATTTAGACAGCACTGAAAAGGAAGCAGCATTGTTTGTGCAGAGGTGGTGAATCTGCCTAGATAATGGTGTTTGGGGAACCAAAAAAACAGGTCAGCAGGAGCACTGAGCCATCATAAATAGCTGTATTTCAGTCCCAGGGATTGAGAATAAATAATCTATGAGTGTCAGATATGAAAAACTGCTCCTGCTCTCATTTAAAGCAGGTGGTTTGTAACATCCTCCAAAAGAGTTTTGGAGTGGCTGCCTCTTCCACAGTCAGTGCTGCCCTTTAAGTCTTCCCTTTTAGCCCATTGGGGCTTTGGGAAAATAAAGGTGACATTTAGTTTCATCGAATTTAGAAACCAAAATACATCATTACTTTAAAAATCAAAACCTGATCACATTGCAGAATATTCTGATGTTGGTCATTGAATACTTTTAACCTAATCAAGACCAGAACTGCTGGTTACAGTTCCCTCTGCTTTTAAGTGTCAGGTGATATGAGATTCAGTCTGCTTTGGGCACTGTAAAACCCTTGATAAGAGGTCAGAAAGAAAGGATCCCAGTGAGCCATGCCAAGAGCTGGCCTTAGCAGTTACATGAGGACAGATGTGCATGGTRCTGCATTCTCACATCCACCTTAGATCAGGTAATTGCCTGAGTCCAGATTCTTCCAGCTTTTTATCTCTTTCCTATTGTCTCCAATTATGTGAGACTTATTTGKGGAAAAGACTCATTAGCCACATGACAAGCCAAATTATGTGCTCAACCTGAACTGAACATGTTTTAAATTTAAATTAAAAACTTCTATAACTTTCAAGGGAAAATTTTTTTAGGGGTTGTTTCTTTTTTGTTAGGATTAAAGAGATTTGTGAAAGGTTATTAAGCTTCCAGAAGGTCACTCCCTACCAAAGCACTGAATTTTCTTCTTCATTGCATCTCACATCCTTTTCTTTTATGCATGTCACGTGTTTCAGGATTAGAATACCAGGAAAAAAAAATAGAAGGCTACTGCACAATAGAAATTTACCACTGTAGAACAAGTTACTTTGTAATACTGTCTCAGCACTTTTAAAATTAAATTTACCTGCAATATAGAGGAGCTCAGATCTCTGCAGTAAATGGGTTTTCAGCATGACACCTTCCTGTCAGTCACACAAATATAACAGAGGCACCCTAAACCAATAGTAAAAGGTAAATGCAGCTTTCAAACATTAAAACTTTGAGGCCCTGAGGAAATAAAACAAAACAAAGACCTCCTCTAAAACCAAAAAGATGTCAGAATGGTCCCTTTCAGTGTAGCCTGTGGGATTTGGGATCCAGAATCCCCCCTCCCCAGGCACTCTGCTGCCAGACTGGCATTTTTGCAGCGTTCCCAGAGGTGGGGAGGGGGTGTCAGGTGCATTTGCACCCCCGAGGAGCCCTTTAGAGTCAAGGAGTGCACAGTGCTGTCTGAGCAGCGCTGCTGAAGGGCTCTCYAGCCCAGGGCACCCACGGTGTGCAGTCAGTGCTGCTGGCCTTTGCTCAGATGGAGGATGAGCACAGGAACGCCCTGTCAGTGACAGTAATTCCACGGGAGGTGCAGCCCTGCATGTGTCAGCGTGACATGTCCCTCTATCCCCTCACTGTGTCTCCATCCTATTCTGCAAATCAGCGTCACTGCGGCTCCTTGCCCCCAGCAAGGGTGAGCATGTGCATCAACGTGTCACAACAGMCCTTCCTTTTCTGTAGGGGAAACAAATTATCTGTAGAGAAAACGCGGATACGGTAATCTGCTTCCACACGAGGGATTTGCTTTGTCCCACTCAAACGCATTTGCCCATTTACAATTTAAAAATTGGGCCTTCAAAATGTTATCRCAGCGCTGCAGGAATCTTTCACCTTGGCAGACAGTGAGGCTTCTCACAGATTAAATGAATGGCATAGTGGTTTTATTGTGCTAAGCTAAACTAAGCACTTCACTCATTAATTCATCACCACTACTTGCATTAAGGAAGACCAGCTATTTTAAATGAGGCATACCTCGTTCCCCCCGCTACCCCAAACATTTCCACAATCTCATCTTTACGCAAAGCTTGTTGGTCATTGCTAGCACAGACCTAGAAGCCAGAGTGGGATGGTTTTTTTTTCAGTGTTGCCAGAATTTTGGTGAATTTCTTCATATTTAAAGAGCTTCCGTTTGGCATGGGCTCTGAAAGTCGTTTACTACAAGTACACAAAAGATTGCTGTGTTGATTGAGGTATCTCAGCCACACTTGTAGCATTTTAGCATGCCTTAAAGCAAACTCTTGTTTATTGAAACAAGCTGCACAATTACTTTGCCAAGAAACATGGATCTGCACAACTGGTTTAACCTTACTAAAAGTCTGTTAGCTCAGAATAATTCTGAATTCCTCAAGAGGTGAATCTAACACACAAAGGAGCCCTGCTGCAATACTTCCTGTGGTGCTCACACCAGTGGGGCATTTACAGACATTTGCAACCCAATTGCTCTGCTCAGAACAGAACTGTCAAAACTGTCTGCTCACTGTGAGGGAGAAGGAAGTGCCATCAATATGAGGATGGAATAAAATGCTGTAGATATGCAAAAATGACTTTCCTTTACATTATAGGACAGCATCAAAACATGTAGACAAAGATCTTGGAAATATAGAAGAAAACAAAAAACTAGAGGAAAACAATCATAAATCTGAAACTTAAGAGAAAATGTGTCAGTCATCATTCCAGGTAAGTGGAATCTCTTTCACCACTATTTCTGGTGACCAAAGCTTGGTCTGATGCTCACCTTCCAGAGGTGAGGCAGTGGGGTCTTTTTGTGGTGCAGTTTTAGGACAGACAAACTCAAGCTTTTGGCTAGTTAAGAATTCAGAGCTGCACGTGCAAATATTAAAAGAAGCATGACATTCGGATGGAACTTAATGCTTGGCTTTATTTTAATGCATGTGCTTGAGAAAATGAAAATACAGGTTTGTATAATGTATCACTGTGGTASATGTGCATGTGTTTGTATGTGCTTATATGAAGAGTATGTTTAGGTAGAGTTCAGAAGATTTCAAATTATGACTTCAAATGTTTACAGGCACCTCTTCCCTTACTGAAAGCARCAGTTCCCAAGTCCTTGGTCCCTTTTTTCACCATTAGTGCAAAGGGCAAGAAACTTCCTTCCCTTAGAACAAAACAATTCTCTTAGCCTAGATTTCACACACCTGCACTATGATCAGTTTTATCCTGTAAAGACACACTGTATATTACATTGGTAACAGGTGTGARAGTTTCCCCTGCTGGGATCTGTATGAAATAAACTGTTTACAAATGATCTGGCCGATGCCAAAGTTCTTTGGGAATTACAGGAGCACTGCAGAGCACCAAGAGCACCACCCTGTGCTCACATTTATATACACCACTGCTGCACCTCTCCTCTTAGCACCCAAAGGAATGGTTAAACCATTTCTCTGGCCAATTTAGGCCATTTTAAATTAACACTGTGATGACACAAGAGTTTGGAAACCAGCTAGCCATAGAGAGGTTTATTGAGTTAGTCATCAGCTGTTCTTAAAAATAAGAGTAGTACATGTTCAGAGCTGCATTTTAAGCTCCTCCACAGGAAAGCTGTAGGCAACACTGATTTTCAGTGATCTTAAGTAAAATAGCAGTGGATAGATACCTTAATGAGGCAGCAGGGTTTTAAAACATGGGATTGTGATGTTTCGTTTTTATAGAAAGTTTCTTATTTAAGTAAATACAAATGGCATTAATAATTTCAATGTGTCAGTTTGAATGAAATTTTCAAATACAAGCTACCAGTTTTGCACTAAATACTCAGAATTCATTTGATTATATAGAGCAATACAGAGTATACTCTATATAAAGAGATGCAGCATTGCTGTTGGCACTTTACTAGCAATATCACTGTTTTACTAGTTTGGAAAAGGTAATTGGGAATACCAAAATTATGTCCTAGGAAGCATTGGAGGGTGGAAAACAAGTCAATTCGGATTTTGAAGAAGTTGCAGTATACATAAATTGTGTGCCTTCGGTGCAATCTTTTACTCTGTATTTCTTCAGATMAGTAGATCTGCATAAATGAAATGGACATAAATCCATTACTTACCAGATAAACTTACTGGATTTACTGGGAACAATATTGCAGCAGTGATTCCTGTAATGAAAGAAAGTGTTTATGTCACTGAGCTGCAGAAGGAAGTTCTATCCATGTAGCTGTTTATTTGAAGCTTAGATACTGAGTAGTTATGATGACTAACATATTTTAAAATGTTTTAACTGGCTTTATCTTTCATATTTTCAGAGAATACATATAGACCAATTGAAGCATGAACGTGGATTGTATTTAAACATATACAAAGAAATGACAGCTATTCATGGTTCAAGTATTAAGCAGATCATACTACCAGGTTTTCAAAGGATTTTAGACACAATTATCTCAAGCTAAAAAGAAAAACCCCACAAACTAATTTTGGCAACAGCCATGATAATAGGTCACCATGTTGTGTTCTGTTTGAAATATTTTTTTGTAAATGTCTGCACTGAAGATTTCTTTTTGTTTGCCTTTATGTAAATTTTTTACGTAGCTATTTTTATACACTGTAAGGCTTTGTTCTGGGAGTTGCTGTTAATCTGATGTATAGTGTAATGGTTTTATTTCAATTGTTTTTATGACACCCTTTGAGCAGGTACTTGTCTAATTCTGGTTGTTATCAGTGAAGCCTCTGCTTTGTAGCAAGTACCTAGAATGTAAGATTGTCTTAAAGGAAAATGTCAAACTCCTTTTTCATTCTTTGAAATCGTGGTAAAGCAGAAGGGTGACAGCTGTGACAAGAATAAACTAAATTGTTAATGAAAGTGAACATTTTAAAAAAACCATGCAAAGCTAAACAAGCTAGAAAGGGAGTAAAGAGTTTCCCTGAAGAAGTCTGGGTATTGAGCAAGGAACACAATGAAAAATTCCTAGCCTACATACAAAYGGTGGCTAATCAATCCTTTTCTTCTAGAGCAAGACACATTTTATTGATGGTTATCAGTCGTCTTTCATGTTAGCATTAGGATAAGGAACTGGAATTSTGGGTTAATTTAGATTCCTTTATGTTATTCGCTGCCTTAAAGTACTGTACCTTTTCTTCATTTCAGAGAGATACCAGTCAGAATTGGAAACTTTTTTTAAAAAGTGGTCATATCAAAGCTGCATTTTTTCCCACAAAAATAGAATATATATATATATATATTTTTTGTGTGTTTTTGTTAACTATGCTACAGATATTGAATGCACCTTGAGATAATTTTAGTGTTTTTAACTGGTACCTAATTTATCAAACAGTACATATAATTGTAACAATGAAATGTCTATGTATCTTTAGTTACATTCAAGTTTGTAACTTTATAAACATGTTTTTTGCTTGAGGGAATTTTTAGAATGGTACTTGATAAGAAAAGGTTTWAGGGTGAATGGCCAGCAGAAAGTTGTACTTAAGGGAGATAAGTTTCATCTTATCAGGAAGGTTAGTTTCTGGATGAAGGTAACAGGCAGCTTTGATGGAGAGGAACAGCAGAGCAAGCAGAACATCAGGTTTCCATTTACAAATATCCAGGGAAAAAGTAAGTTTTTATAGACTGGTAGGCAAAAATAAATAAATAAATAAAAGAAAAAGATGGACGTTAGGAAATGTATTTTGCCACTTTTGCATTATTTAGGGGGAAGAAAACACTGTTACTTGTAAATTTGTAAAATGTTAAATGTCTGGGCAGTAGTGACTGATGTCTTAATAAAAGCTTCCTGTAGTGCATTGGCATGGATTAAATACATAAGATGTCCTATAAACTCTATGCTGTATAAAATATTAGAGGGAAATCCTGTTCTATGCCTCTAAACTTTAATTTGTTACTGTTTTATTTGGCAAAAAGAAAAAAATTATAATCTTGGTCAATATTTAAACCAAAGTAAAATGGGGGAAAAACCAAAGTAATTTGTTTTGCATGGCTAAGCCATTCTGTTATCTCTGTAAATATTGTGATTTTTTTCTTTTTAGAATTTTGTTAAAAAAATTCTAAAATTTTTAAACACCTGTTTTTTCCAAAATAAAACGTGAACACACAAAAAAGTTACTTTATATATATAAATATATCTTTTTCTTTTGGTGCAAGAACACTGCCAAGCGATACACGTTTTTTAAAAGAAAAAAACAAATTCAGTGGGCATGACTCTAAATGGGAAAAGTCGTACCAGAGTCCTGTGAAGGAGTGTGCATCTATCGCCTCTCTTTGTTTATAACACTACAAATACTTCTTATGTACAGAGAGGAATCTTCCAAAGATAGGGAAAAACTCCAAAGGGAAAGCATAGGGAAGGGCTGAAAATTTTCATACCACARTCAGGGGAATATAGGGCAAAGGAGAAGAAAAAAAAAAAATGTTCTTCAACCTTCACAGCTACAGAAAAAGGAAAATAAACAACTCCTCGCCTTTTGGGATTCTGCTTGATCTCCTATGCACTTTAAACCGTCAGTCCGAGGAGCTGGGCTTTTCGCTGCTCCCACTTCACTATAGGCAAGTTTCAAGAACCGAGAGTGCAAAAGAATTAATGTTTCTATCCATGCCTAAACAACAATAAAACTGAAGTATGTCTTCACTGGCTCGTGTGAAATCTCAGTTTACAAGAGCATGTGTGAGTTCGAGGGAAGGCGCTTACGCAGAGCTCGGGCTGCTCCTGTGGTGCTGCAAATCCACCTCTGCAGGGTCTGGCTGGCAGGAAAAGCTGTGGGGTGCTCAGTGTGGGTTTGTGGASCTTCTCCTGGCCCACAGCAGCTGGGGAGCACAAGCACTTGCTCAGAGAAAAGCACAAGCTGGCACACAAAGCCTTGCCAAAGTTCATCATGCAGGTTTCTGCTGGTGACAAATAATTAGCAGGGAATTTGGGGGGCCTGTTCAAATCTGAGTTAGGACTCCACAAGTGGAGTTCAACCCCAGTTTACTACACACAGAGAGAAAAACAATGCTTACAAATGGTTTAAAAGCATGATAAGAGGCAGYAGGGGAGAGCTCACCCCCTTGCTTTACAGTCAGGAAATAATGGAATTAATGATGTCTGTTCATGGCTGTGCAGAAAACTACCACTGAGTTGTAACAAACCAACGGGTTTGGCTGCATGCTGCAAAGGCAGCAWCCTGCAAAAATATCCCATGGGCTTCCCAAGCAGCTCTGGAATCCTCCAAAGTAATAATACCAAGGCTATGGCTGTGCTGCAGTGGACACAAGCCATGTTAAAACACACAGAGAAACGTGATAATGCTGCTGCCACARGGTGAGGCCCTCTGGAATGAAAGGRAAAAASARTTCTTGGRGTCACCACAATAAAAGGCAAAGCATCAGAGACATTTTATGCTGGTTCTGAGTGCTACAGACCTTCTGCCTGAGGGCTTTACTGCACCTACAGCTGCTGTGCTGCTGGCCAGAGCCTGAGCAAGGGACCATGCTGACCTGACCGCTGGCCAGGGGAAAAAAAACCATCCACCCCTCACTGGATATTTTCCAGGACTTGCCAGCATCAATCMAGATGGTTTAGGCAATGTGCTACACCTTTTCCTGGACACAGTGTTTTCACCCTGTCAGGTTTTGGAAAACGTACACAAATAAGTAACTCTAAATTCTATATTGGTTATTATTTGAACATTACAGGATAGAAATGTGAGCTTTATCCATATTGGTACCAGCCCACAAAGACATACAAAGAATGAATAAATATAAATTTGTTGTCTTTGTTTCATGATAAATTTTGTCAGGGAGCATCCGATATTCACCTAATAGCCTGAGCTGCTGGCTGCTGCAGGGAAATCTGATTTACTTGTAGCACCACGGGTAGCTGGATCCCTTCCTGTTGACTTCATATTTAGACAGCCATATGTCTGTAATTATCTCAGCTAAGATTAAGCAGTGACATATGAAATGAGATCATGACCTCCTGTGTCAACCACATCTGTGCAAATGTTTCCTGGGCTTCCTTTTGACRAGAAGGCATCTGCATTCAGGTGTCTGCTTCCAGGAATTGCCCAGTGCAGCATTTCCGAGAGGTTTCTCCTCCAGGCAGAAGGAGCCAGAAGAACACAGGAGAACAGAACTTCTTATGTGCTCCTAACCCCTGAAAGGAGCCCTGGAAGCTCCCAGGCTCTTCTGGAAATGATAACATCCTCATGCTGGCATAATTCAGTGCTGAGCAGGGCTCACCTCAACCCTGTGCCMCTGTGGTTTACCAGAGAGGGAGGGCATTGTGTTTTTACAGCAGGGAGGCAGGCAGGCTGCAAACAAACACCCTTCATGTGCAATGCAGCTCACACGTTCAGCAAAGATTTGCTGCATTTCAAGTTATTAGAGAATCAGAAACTAAGCCTATTACTTATTATCAAATTATGTCAAAGCCAATYTCTAAAATCAGACTAACTCCATCCACTCAGCCGCTCACAATTCTTCAAATGTCTTGTAATTCGTACATTTTTCTCATTTACATTCTAAATAGAGACATTTATTCTGGTAGTAGCAGGGCATTTGCTTTGATGTAGTAATGAATTTATTCTTGAAAAGGTAGAGCCTGACAAATTATTAGGAAATTTTGTTTCTTAGTGAGAAAACCGTAATGTACCCGTAATTTACACTCACCCTTCTCGCCGTCCCCCCAAATATTTTGCCTCTTCTCATGGTCCACCTGGTGTTACAGCCAAGGTCTCTGCCATGCTCTGTTCCCTGCTCATTTTCACATCTGTTCTGTAGAGATTGATTCTCTGCTGCCCTCACCATCACTTCTTCATTTGCAGGACACCCAGTAAATGCCAGCAATTTAACACAAYTGTAAACATGAAATAGACTGTGAAACAGGAAAAAAAGGTAAAAACTTGCCAAACTTCCTGTGCTTGGGCTTCTACAAGTTCAGATCCATACCTGTGGAGTCCCCTGGAATTTCCCTCTTTTCGGAAAATAGCACAAAAATCTAACTCACACTACAAACTGCAATAGCATGACAGACACCTGTGCACATCACTGTGCCCTTTCTTCTTGTCTTAACCTTTTCCCATCCCTGATAACATTAGAAATAATGTTAAATAGATATCATTAGGCACTGGAAAGCCAGGACAAGTCTTATGTTTAAGAATGTGATCTCTTTTCATRTATTCAGTCCACGTAGTTGTGATGCAAGGATTTATTGCATGCCACCCAGCCCTGGACTTGAGAGACCAGCAGGAAGAAAGTAACATACTTTTACTCTAAAAAGTAACAAATCATATTTAAATGGAGTGACTAACACCCATCCAGTTTTTCCAGGAAAAAAAGAGTCCCTCTTTCAATACAAACCTACATTCAATTTGACTCAGATATATTACACAATATAATAATAGAATAATTACATAATTATATATCATATAATAATAGAACAATAATTATATAATAAGCTATATAAAA